AGGCGAAGATGGTGTCGATGATTGCTGTTCTTCTTCGACGGTGGTGTTCCTTTCGTTTGTTTTGCGCTTTGTTGCTGGTTTTGTTGGTAAGCGCTTCTTGTTCGATACTTGAATCGGTTTCCGCGACGAAGATGCTTGAGGTTTCGTCGATTTTTGTGGTGCCTCTCTGTTCCGAGCTCCTTGTGAGTTGAGCGTGGTTCTCGGTGTTGGTTTCTTCGTTAATTTGGGAACGAAGAGTGGTGTTGGTCGCAGTTCTCCAACGCCTCTTAACAATCCAGGGAAGTCGTTTGGTTGGGAATCAGTGAGATCTTTCTGTTTCCCTTTTGGTGGAATTTTGTACTTTGATCCAAGCGTGTGGGCGCTTGCTTGTCTTCTTTCTTGTCACAACTGTTGCACGAAAACAGAGTCCTTTTCAATATAACACTCGATCACCCCTCGCGGTGGGCTCCAGATGATGAGGGTGGATGACGGGTGGGGAGACCGGAGATGTGACCGACACTACACAACTAAAACTCAACAACAAAACAACAAATAGTCGTTCTGTCTGCTGAGCGATAACCGTATAACACCGTTCCAAAACGTCCAACAACCACCAATAACCGTCTCCTAATACGAGTGCAGAACCCTGGGAACAGAGCCTGTACACGGGTGTGCAAGGTTGTAGGGTAGATCGAATGAAATCTTGTTAAAGATTTGTTTTGTGGTCGTCCTTAAGCGTACTATCGACGAAATCCAGCAATAGGAAAGCGCCAATACGATGCCCAGAACCGTTTATACTCGTTTGGATCAGGAACTAACTGCCTTAAACCCAAGGAGTCGTCTCAAGTCAGGAACTAACTGCCTTAAACTCTCGACCGCCAACCGAAACCAAGTGTACGCCAACCGAAACTCTTTTATACGGCAACCGGAACCCTCAACTCTTTGATCACAACGCCTTTTTACTTGAATGAAAGAGCTAGCAGGATAATATTGACAAGCTAGATCCCCAGATGCACCTAGTAACGCGGGGCAATCCGTGAATCGCTCAAGTACAGGACAGAGATATAAATACTAAAACAGAAAATGATAAGATCAGGTAAATCGCCACAACAGAATGATGGTCCATGTGCATAATTTGTAAGGTATCGTTTCGCCATAAGGCCCAGAGTCGAAAATCCAGGTCTAGATGACCGGTAGCGCGTGTTTGGTGTCAATGACCTTTGTAAATCCTCCTTTATTGCGACCGTCTATGCGTTTTTGTGAACGGTCCGCTAACCGTTGTTGTTATCGTCGTGTTGCTCCACTTCCTAGCTTTCCATCGATACCCATGACTTGAGGTTAACCGCCAGACACCGTTAGGCAAATCTCTTAACGAGATAATCGCAATCTATTGTCGAGTTGCTCGGTTGGACGGTTACGGGTTAAGGTCGCCGCGATCTGCAGCCAAGCCCTCGTTTCCACTGAGTCATGCTTCCCGTTTAACCGCACCTCCACATGTCCTTGTCCTTGCGTAAGTTCCGAAACCGCGTTCCAATGCTGTCAGGGACTGATCCGTTCGAAGCCTGGTTGAACCGTCGTTGGAGCGTTCTGAGTTCGAGTCCCAGCGCATGCCAGACCGAATATGCCTTTTAGTTTACACTCCCTTTTGGTATATATAAAGGATTGGATAGATCCTCTATGTTGGTTGGGCTCTGCTGTTGTTTTTGGTTGTTGTAAGAGTCGTTCTGAACGGCCAGTTGCTATCAACAACGGTCGAACCGAAACGCCTCTTCGCAGATATCTCCCTAACTGGCCATTCGGGACTCATGCCAGTTCCTAGACGTGCGCTGTACCCATGAAACGAACAAAAATAGTGGTTTTCTATGTGTGTTCCAAAATGCGGCTTATCACCGTCTCACAGGCAACAGCTTGCTGACAGGCTGTATCTCCACGAGGCGGAGTAGACAGCTACAAGGCTGTGCGTTCTTATCCGTCGGCCTCATGCCTCCACTAACCCGCTCCACAAGCATCCCCAGCATCCGCAGCTGGTGGTCAGACCGAAATGAGACTGGCGCGACAATAAACTTGCATGCTGCAGCAAAGCCACTCATGCGCTTTATGTATGACGGACAGGCCCGGAAACTTCTCGAGGCAAACCGAGAGCGCAGTCTTACCGACGAGGCAGCAGAGGTCTACCTTAGTTACCTCAGGTCCGTGCTCTGCAGACCAGCTGAAAAAACACCTACCACTATTAACACAATGTGACAGCTTCCCATATGTCGGCTCGTCGACAAAATGCGCGATTCTGGACGATCTTGTTGGCAGATTGGACACACTAAACAAAGAACCCAGTTTCAATATCGACTCCCGCATTCTCGAGAGATCGATTGTGAGCCCACGTGGGCGGGCGGTATACGACACACTTCTCCTGCATCCCAATACGCGACTCCGTCTCTTGAAGCTTGTGGGACAGATGTGTGAGGCAAGTCTGTCTATCCCGCACGAATTTCTCTCGGCATGTGTACAGACATTATTTTCTGTCCCTGGGTAGGCTTCCCAAGTCCCAAATTCCGTTCCCTCTGATGGCAGCACTCAGGCTCCCATTCCAGCTCTTGCTGATCGCGCAAATGTGCCATTCTCCTGAAGGTGCTGCGATCATTGCTGACGCACTCGAGGCGCAGGTTGATCCAGCCCTGCAGCCTCTCGAAGAAGTCAGCCGCTTTCTCGTCAACTCTCTCCTACTCCGATGGACCTTTCAATCCCTATGCAATAGCATCGCTCCCGGACTAGAGGTGACACATATTCACAAGCGCATCAGTAAAACTACAGGTCGGTCTTAGGCATCTTTGAGATCTTGCCAAAGATCTCAAAGATGCCTAAGACGCCAAAGATGCCCAAGACCACGGTCTTGGGCTAAGCAGATTCATTTGTCTTGGGCATCTTTCACAAGACCATTTTGGTCTTGAAAAGATCCTTTGCATCTTGACCAAGACCACCAAAGCTTAAGCAAGATGCACTCCAAGATGCTCAAAGACCAGATATAGAGTAGTGAAAATCATATATATATTAATATTGTGCTATTTGTAGCTTATAGTGTACACGGTACAATCCTATTCCTTTCCCCTACAGCCCACCAGGTACTCGCACTTGCGCTTGACATGGCACCCATTACCGAAGCCAACCACTCCGGCCTACACCAAATGACGCGGACAGCGATTAACCGTTAGGCAGGCCTAGGCAACGCCGTCGATAACCCTGGTACTGCTGCCTGACCGCTGCCTAACGAGGTTGAGTGTCGAGATTGCCAACAAGAAAAAAAACTCACAGTCCCGAAGCTCCAATCGAGAACACCATCTGGGAACCAACACCCATGGCCGCCGCTTGAGGCCGCTCGAGTGCACTACAAAGCAGCCAGTTAGCGCAGGGATTTGGCTGTATACGGAAAACTGACCGGACGGGGGAGTTCAAAGGAGGGGGGGATAGGAAGGAAGGTGGCAGACGCGGCTGCGGCCCCGCATGCTTGCCGGTGTCACATGGCTCATGCACACTGAAAAGTGGCTAGTCAGTGCACGGAGTTCATGCGTGGAGTACTGACCGAGGTTGGTGCCAACGCAGAGCGGGTAAGATGGGGTGGCTGGCCAGGCGACAGGCGACAGGCGGCGCGCGGTGGAAGGCTGGTTAGTACTTGAAGATAGCACTGTAAGGAGGACTCGCCAGGATTGGGATGGGCGAAAGATCTCAGTGAGACGCTGCAGGGAGATGGTGGGGGAAGGGAAGGAAGAATCGCAAAAAGTGGTATCATTTTTTGCGACGTGGCACTGATGTGATGTGACAGTGACAGATGCACGTGCGCCGGCTAGGGACTTAGCACATTTCAACGGCTCGGGTCCAGCAATGTGCTGAACTTCCAGCAAATGCCCATCTATATGAGTGCACAACTTGTTCACAAGGTTCTAGGTTGCTTTCAGATGCCTTCAATGGCTTACAAGGCCAAAAATTCTACTAGTGAATTTCCTCTTGCCAAGATGCTGATCCAAAGATCAAAGATGGTGTGTCAAAGACCAAAGATCACCGTTTCCAAGCCCAAGACGCCGAAAGATGCCTTCCCAAGACCAAAGACCAGGTTCAAAGACCAAAGATGCCCAAGACGGACATGTAGTTTTACTGATGCGGTGAGCGGAATAGTACTTGCTCTGCCAGCGTTACTCACTGTGAATCGACGTGAAGCTGGCACGCTTTTGAGTCCGAGACAGCAATGCAGGCCCTGCAACAAACGATTGGGTCGATAGACCCCTTGGACATCTTGCGCGCGGCAGCCACCGTGCTCGACCCCACCTCATGCAGCGAAGTCACACGGTACTTTTCATGCAGCTATGCCGCGATTATGGCGGCAAACGGACACTGGCCGCTGGATCCTCTCACAGAACTGCGCGAATGCCTCTCCCACCTGCTACGGTCTGTATATCTTGCTTTGTATCCAACGCTTCTCAGCAGTGATGGTCCCAGGCACGAATCGGATGCCCGTGTCAGTACCATTGCCATTGCTTCCTGGGCCCTAGGAGTTATTGTCGGGCAAGAGCCAGCTCCGGTTGAGGACGATGACTGTGGGCCTCCACTCGTGATTGAGCCTTTCCTCGAGACAGCAGCGCAGACCCCAAGACCGCTTCGCCTGTATCAACGCTCCGATCATGATAGCGCCTCTGACTGCAGCGATTTCGATTATTCAAGTTCAAACTCGGATGAAGAGTATTCTGACAGCGAAGGCACAGGGGATGTGGCCTTCGACGATGTGCCCTTCGATGGCATGTCTTCGGATGGGAGCGTTAGCCGTCTGAGTACAATTTATGAGGAGTCGGAGGCAGAATACTGAGGCAGAGAGCCCAGACAGTGATCAATAGCTCGAGTATTTTGGCTGAGTGCTAGCATGATTATCCGATGTGCAGATCTTACCACACTGCTTGCTCGTCATTTCAGTTCACAGGAGAGTGTCAAGAAAAACAATTGCAGTCTTACAACACCTTGTACTGTAGAATGGTCTGGACTCAATGAAACCCATCACCAGGCAACTGGGTGTGCCGGAGCGCCAGCATGAACAACGGGTTTAGGCCAGACCAGAATTCCGCAACATCGAGGGAAATCTTGCCCTGGCCAAGTGCCAGCCGGCGGATGACCTCGCGGGCCGCTGCCTCCGAGCCAAAAAGTTCGATTACTCCGCAGGGTGGCGCCGAGGGCTGCTCGATGCGGCCGGGCCGCTCGCCGTATCTATAGAGTGTGGTCCCGCCGGGCTGGGAAGCGATCGCACGCAGGCTGCTCGTGCGGTAGTCAGTGTCCATCAGGACGCGTAGGAAGTCCCTGTCGGTGGGCGTAAGGTCGAGTGCCGCATCATCTGGTGTGAACATCAGTACCGGTAGCATGGTGAGTGGCGAAGGAACAAACGTTCATGGTATTGGCGCAGGGCAGCACACCCACGTTTGTGCCCGCTGTCGCGCCAGTCGGCCTTCTGGCATGCCTCGGAGCAGTAGACGAGTACACGGCAGCCCGAGCAGCGTTTGAAGTCCGCTTCCGGCCCAACACGAGCGCACTATTCGAGTTGTTGAGTGACAATGACATCACGACGGATGGCGAGTGAGCTACCTCCAAGTTATCGCACATCTTCTGGACTGGAAAGTCCCCAGCACGAAAACGTTCGAACAGCGCGAGACGCTCCGTCGCAACGCGGGCGAAAGCCTTCCAACAGGTCTTGAAGAATGGAGTTTGCTTGAATGCGTCGTTTGCGACGGCGGAAGCCAATCCGGGAAGAACGTCTGCGAGGACCTCCAGGACACTCGTTCTGATCAGCGCAGCGGGAAGAATGGAGGTGAAGAAGCTCGTGAGCATGTAGCGGTCCTCGGCCGTGCTGGTGTGGAAGTCCGCCGGCGCCAGATTGACGAGCGCGTCGAAAAAACGATGGCGGAGCATTTCGGGGATGTGGTGATGCCCCGGGGGGAACGAGACGATGAATGAGAGGAGGTTCAACGCGGGACCGGCTATTGCTTTGATGATCTGGTCTTCGGGATTGGGCACAGTGGAATACGTGTACATAATGCTGCACAGCAGGGGCACAAGACCGAGCTCGAGCATTGCGTTGAGTAACGGGTTGGGCTGCAGGGGAAGGTCGCGGACAACAGGGTCGGTGCTGCGTATGAAGTGGAGAGCACCACGTATGCGCGCCGCAGATAGGGTAGTCAGGAACGTGTCTGCATCAGCGACACTGTCCTGCAGCTGGTGCCGCGCAGAGTCGAGATGATAGTAAAGTGCCTGCCCTAACTTCTCCAGTGTGCCACCGGCTCCTTCGACGGCTTGTTGGAATCCCTCCCGTGAAGTGACCGCCCGGCTGGTGAGGACCGCGAAAAGCGCGTAGCCAGCCCGTGCACGCTCTTTGCTTTCGGCTTCAGGTCCATTGGGCTTCTGGAAGATGCGAGCCCAGGCACGGAAGATGAGCTTGATGGAGCCAGGTACGGAGAGCAGTTCGAAAGCTTCGTGGTCGGCGCCATCATAAGGGAAGGGGGGAATGAGAGAGAAGAGCAGGGACATCACGACTTTGTCGAGTGCCGGCCCGATGGGCTCTTTCCTGTTGTCCATGAAAGCCGCTAGAGAGACCGGATCTGCATAGAGAAAGCGCAGCCATCCAATATTGGCCGTCCAGAGGTCTTTCGCAGCAGGGACAGCAGACACGCCGAGATGCACGAATTCCCGGAGCGCCGCCCACGCAAGAAAGATATGGTCGGGATTTGGTTTATCTGTGATGCGTGCAGGGTCTAGCAACGCGAAAAGCGCAGGCAGGATGTGTATTTTGGTGGTCTCCTCCGCTTCAGATCGCAGGAAGGCAGCAATAGGGTCAAAATCGGTGGGGCGAGCATTTGGCAAGGCAACCACGTTGGCAGCGGCCTATCGTGATTAGCTGAGAGCGGAAATACGAGGCACATACTGACCTTGATGTCAGCCGGCAACTTCTCCAGCGCGGATGGCTGCAAAAGATCGTGCATGGTGGGAGGAGGCAAGAAAAAACACGGGGTGATTGACAGCGCTGTCAATCACCTCGTGGTGATGACGTGGTGATCACTTGCTTACGGGCCTCTCTGTGCTATACTGACCGGGGTGACTGACCGCTCGTCGATCGGTCAGTGATATGAGTAGCAGAGCGGGAACGGGGCACCAAAACCGTGTTATCCATCCTGGCTCATCGAACACCGAAGAACATCGTCGAACAAAATATGAGTCACCATCAGATCACCGACGGCACCGAGGACATCATCGATCGCATTGGCACTGACACCTCGCCGCCTTTTTGCTTTTGACCATCATCTCCCCTCATTCAGCTTTTCTCCGTCCATCTACCTCCGTGCCTGCCGACCCCGCCAAACTGTTGAACTGAGATTTCGTCGATGGAATGAAAGACAAGCTAGACACGCGCACGCTCCGGCCTCGGCGCCCGCTGGCAAAGAAAGCGGCGGCGGCATCGTCCAATGCAGTCCCAGAGTAAGCCTCACAATATTTGCTCTCGTACTCTCTGAAGTAACGCACATCAGCGACGATGGCCCCGGGCGGCGAGGCACGCGCTGCCAGCTGGCACGGCCCGACCGTGCCAAAGCGCGCTTCCTGTACCACCAGTGCGACCTTGGCATGCACGACATTGCGCTAGTTCTCAAGTCAACGGAGGGGGTGGTGGGTGGGGCGGTGCGGAACCGCTACAAGGTACCGGACAATGAGCTGGACGACGAGCTATACTTGGACGAGGCGTTCAAGCGGACTTACCTGCACTTCAAGGTATGTGGTTTTTTCTGTGCTCGCTCGCGAAAGCAAAGCTGATGGAAAACAGGACGATGTGGAGGTGCTGCCTGGGGTCGAGGGCGGGGAAGGGCATTCACGCATGCGGCGCTTCAGCGACAGTCCTCTGTCAGAATACAATTACGACCTTCCTGACTTTGACTATGGCGATAAAACACTTGTTCGGAAAAGTTCGGTACGTGTTCCGGCTGCTGGGGACTGCCATTCCCATTTCTGACTCTGTGAAAGCCCGAAGCACCCTCTAAGTCGGCAGGCAGCCCTATGAGTGACTCGCATGCACCATCTTCCCCACCATCCCACTTCTTTGGCGCACTCGATGACCCACTGCCACGTAGTACGAGTCCCCTCTTCAGCCCGTTGCCTTCGCCAGACCCTCCCGATGCTCTTGTCGAATTTCTTGCACATGATATCTCGCCGCACCTCTCACTTCTTCACCATTGCGGCCTTTTCCGGCTGGTTGGAATCAGCATGCCCGAGTTGACGGCGATGGCGGCGTGGACGCGTGCCGAGGTAGTCGAAACGCTCGACAGGCTTCTCACCACCTGGCCCATTCCCGAAAGCCACCCCGTCCCCATCGCTCATGACGGCTTGACGGCGTTCGAGCGCATCGCACTGGCCAACGCTGTGGGTACCATTCCCGTCGACGAGCCGGATGCATTGGCACCGGTGATGCCTCAGACGATTGAAGACTTCATCGAGCGACCAATGCCTGGTCTTCCTGCGGGCGTGTCGCTGCAGCACCACCACGACTTGATTTTCCTCACGGGCTTGAAGACAGTTGATGAGTTGTCAACCATGGCGGGTTGGACAGATACACGGGTGCGGGATGCGCTGGCGACGATGTACTGGGGGTCGATGAGTCCGTTTGAGCTCGTGCTATTCGAGCTGGGGGTGAGGAGGTTGCGCCAGGCGTAATGGCCCATGGCTTTCGAAATTCAAATTTCGCTAATCTTGGTTTCTTATTGTATGATTTGAGATGCTTAAGTACTGATATCTACATATGCTGACCTTACTGGTATATACATACTGAAATCTTATTGACTCCTATTTTTGGCGTCAGGGATATCGATACATAGAAGCGGCAGCGTACAGCCAGTGTGGCATTTCAACTTTCTCCGGCATGAACGACTCTGCCTAGAACATGGCACTATCTGAGTCTGATTCGCCACCGAGATCAGGGACTGGGCCTGGCTGATCGACAGTAGTGCTGGCCAGAATTATATTATGGTTGATTAAATATTGAATATATTATCCCCTTGGGGGATTACTTGAATATGATTATATTTGAATATATTATATTATATTATATTATATTATGACTATACTAGATCATAGTCCCAGAATGTTCAACTATAGAAAGGTTGATGATCCCAGCTATTTTCTCAGTCCCTGTTCTCAGTCACAGTTCTAATTAGTAATCTTAGTCTGAATTAGCCTTACTTGTGATAAATGCCACATATCATTATTGATCTTATATTAAGCAGATGTCATGTGAATGTATGCACATGTTTGGCATGGCTTTAACAATTGATCTGCTCCACACTTCCATTTTTGGGGTGACTGCTGTTAAAGTCCTAAATTGGTAAAGAATTTGGCCAATCCTAATTGGGACACAAAGCTGTCAGTAATGACTTGTACCAAGTACTGTGAACCAGTTGTATCTAAGGTTATTTGAAAGTAAATATGCTCAAATTTCCCACAAATTGAGAAATAAGTACACAAATATTGTATTTGTCAGGGGAAGCCCCCTTTCGGCCCCTCGCAGACGTGTCCAACTCCGGTCCGATTCCGGCCCCAATTCCGGTCCGGCCCTCCATCTCGCCCGCACAATCACCAATCTGTTAACGCTCTCCCGGCGGTCACCCTGGGACCTCGCCTGCAACGCTGCCCAAGCCTTCTGTGCCCGACAGCGGCAGCTACAGACAAGCAGTATATAGTCAGCTCCCTAGCAGGCGGACCCTTAGAGTTTCTTCTCTTTGGATCCTCCCCTGCTAGGTCAGCTTCATTTGTATTCACTTACCAATGTTCATGCTTTGGATCCTCCCCTGCTAGGACCTTGATCTCAGGCCTCCATGGTTGCCCTTACAAATATTAGTGACTTGGGTTGCACTCAACATATATGAGCAACAGATGTTTAAGAAGTCCATGTGGCATTTGTGTGCTATTCGGTAATTAGTGGCAATGTTCTTAATTTAGGAATTTATGTTATTCGGGCAATATTCAAGTTCAAACCCAGCTTTGTCTAGTCTATTATATATGGTGATTCATACATTACTCCTAGTAGGAACAAGTGTCAGGAGTTATCACGTTGGGTTCACCCTATCAAACATAGTGTAGAACCCTTGATCAAGTGTTTACGAGTGACAATGCCCCTGATTGTATTTTGAGAGTCCTATGTATCCAAGGTTGGACATTGGAGAGGCCCGAAAGGAAGTTGCCCTGACAATCCAGCATGTATCTCATGTTTTTGATTTTCTTCCAGCAGCGAATATGTTAAATATATCAAGAGATATGCATACTAGATTAAAGTTGAATATATTCATAACATATTCATATTTTGCAGCTGAACATGATTATACTATACTACAAGTATATTATTGTGTTGGAGCTCTGAATATGATATGATTATAATATATTATGCCTATAAGATAATATAATCAGATTTGGCCAGCACTAATCGACAGCACACAGTTTACAGCGTGGAGACTGGCCACCGGGAGGGATCTGGAGCAACTTCATTATGAATTAGAAAGACGTCCCTTAATAACTGCTTGCGGCCCAGGCTCTCTTCTTCCCCGGGAGATTAGCCTCCTGTTCGAATTCAGGGTCCCACTTCCTCTTCGGCCCCAGGGGAACCTGCAGCTGCGCTTGCGCCATCGCCTTGGCCGTGTTCAACACGCGAACGGCTGTCCCAAAGCGCGCAGCAAGTGCGTCCCGCGCGCCATCATCGTACCGCACCAACTGTAGCCCAAAACACTCGACTGTCGGCCGTCCATCGGTCGCAGCGAAGGCGGGGTTCTGCTGCAGCTTCAGCTGGTCGGCGGGGGCGGCCTGGCGGAGGCGCATCGCGCGGAAGACGGAAGGGTGTGACTGATGGCTTAACTCAGTTGACGCCAACGACAGAAGAACGACATGGCGCACGATCTCGACGTCGGGGATGTCTCCCCCCGGGGCGCAGCCCGGGACAGCGCGGAGGCTGAGCACGCGATATACGCCTGCGTAGTAGAGCAGGTCGTCACGGTGGGAAAGCAGATCGACCTCAACCGTTGAGAGCGCGAGAGACGTCAGCTGGGTGTGTGGGCGCCAGCTACCGTTCACGTATTCGTGCGTTGGGGCGAAGGCCAGTGCGTGCCCGCCGCGGGGGCCGCACCACAGCAGGCGCCCCGGGAGAAAGAGTGTTGGCCTGCATCTGATTCGCGCACATTTATCAGACGAACGGTGACATACCGAAGACTCCCGGAGTGCCGGGAAACATCGAGGTGGTAAGGCCCACCCTCGAGTTGTCCAATCGCGTTGCCCTTGGCAAATTTGTCTTGCCGAAGGTTACTGGGGAGTGCCAGCGAGTGCATATACTGGTTGGCAACCTGCCGTACGGTCGGTGGCTTCTGACGCAACCGTCAGCGGTTGGACATCTGGCGTCCCGAGAAGACTCGGACCCACCCCAGCCGCGGATACCCATGTTCGTGAAGCTTGATACGGCGCCGAAGAGTATGACGGAGGAGGATCTGCAGTATGACTGTGCTCGCCTAGCGACCACCCACGCATTTTGCTATGGCCAGTCCTGTCGCTTGATTCCGTGGGTGCGCATTCTTCAGATATCCGGGGCCTCATGGGGGAAGCCTGCTTGTTATCGCGGTCCCGCTATGACTATGGCATCAACGGCTATCCTCGCGTGGCAGTGCCTGCGACACACCTCTCGTTGCTCTCTGTGGCCGCTGAGATGCGCATTGGCCTCCCGGAAGATCTCGTTCTCACGTTCGAGCCTCGCAACATCGTCGTCGCGCTCACGGAGCACTGCCCGCAGTCGCCTAACTTCATTCTCCGCGTCGTCCAGCCTCTGGCGGGCCGGGAATGAGCCATACATCTCGCTATCACGCATGATGACGCACCTTAGTCACCCCTTGTACATGCCGTCGTGCCATGTCCACCTCGTTCTCCGCCGCTTTCCCTGCCTGGAGGTACCCAATCGACGCACAGTGGGGCCACCAGTACAAGAACGCACCTTCTCCAGCGCTTGATTCTCCGCCACCAGCATCAACAGCGCCGTTTCCGCCGCCAGCACGTCCCGCGCCTTCGTATCCAGCGCCTACTAACCCTTCAGTGGCCGCCCCTGAGCATTAGATGGAAGAGGAATGTGCATAGTACATACCGTCTTGAGATCAGCATTCTCCTTCATCACCGACACGAGCAGCGCCCCCGTCTCGCGCTCGGGTGCGGCGGCGGACCGACCAGGTGGCATCGCGAGTGTGCCAGAAAGGGGGAGGAAGAAAAAAAGTCGAGTGTGACTAAGCGTGTGATGTGTGATCGACACGTCGGTTGTTTCCGGCCGAACCTTCTTCTTGGGGCAAGTAAGTAATGTCTTCGGTCTTCAGAGATAACGAACTAAGGGGGTAGTTGAACAACTGCCGAGGCCGCCGCCCAGAAGGCAGCGATGTCGTGCAGCGCGGCGCACGGACCATGCCGTGTTTCACGTGGTCCCCTTTTTTCCCATCTGCACGATCTGCAATCCACCCAGAAGGAAAGTTGTCTATAAAATCATACCACGTCGAAGGCGGGGATAAGTACTGCACTTGGGAATCCTTCAAGAATCCTTCGAGACCCTTAACGACCTGCCGTAAGTATTGGCGGCATCATCATCATCACACATGCGCACGGCATCACGCATCACACGCTTAGTCAAGGCCCTCTCTTTCCTCTCTCCTTTTCACCCGGCCCGCAAGCAATGCCGCCCAGTCGTTCCGCCGCCACCCCAGAGCGCGGGTCTGCGCCGCTGCTCGTGACGGTCATGAAGGACAACGCAGAGCTTAAGGCGGTGCGCCGCACATCTTCTTTCGTTGTGCACCAGGTGTAGGGGCCATTGTATTAACGATTTGTCGGTAGGCGCTGGTGTGCAAGACGACGGAAGTACGCGCGGCGGAGAAGGCTTTGGAAATACTGGCCGCAGAAGCGGAGGGGCTGGAAACGGTGCGTGCCTCGAGCCTGAGGTGCATTACCGACCCGGAGTAGATGAGGGATGAGCTGGCGACGGCGCAGAGAGAGCTGCAGGCGGTGACACAGGTGCGCGCCGACCGATTCTGGCAGTATGTGAAACTCATTCATGGCCAACCAGAGGCTTCATGCAGCGCAGGATGAAATCGACCTCCTGCGGGCAACGATGAGGCAGCGGGATGATGCTCTTGATGATCTGGAGCACGAAACTAGGATGTTGCGCGATGAGAATTGGCACTTGAGAAGTGCTCGGGAAGAGGAGGTGTGTTGACTTTTCCCCGTTTCGCTGGCAGGATTAACGTGAGCATAGCGATACAAAAGCACTCACCAACTGCGCACCAGCGGCCACACCCATATCCCAGAACCTCTCCCGTCTTACACACCCATGCTCCTTCAAGCTACACGGATATGGACTCCAGCCGGTGTGGTGGGTCTTCAAGATCCCAAACCTGAGTGAATGTTGACCCCCATGTCAGAAGCCGATGGAAGCCACTCAGGCGGCACGCACGATCGTCAATCATTATATGAATACGCTGCCGCTCCCAGGTGATCTCCGTCAAGACAGGTTTTCCCCCCGCGAACACAATCGGAAAGTTCGATGGGCCGGCCGACAATGTAGACCTTTCGCAAGCTCCCCACCGCATCCGTCCCTTGCTATTCATCCCGGGCCGCATCTTGTGGTCAAGAGCCAGGGGAGGCCACGCAATCGCTTACGCGCCAACCCACGAATTTGTGAACGGCATCTGGCGCCCGCACTCGCACCTGACATCTCTCGCGTCCCCTTCTCTGGAGGTTGATTTGCTCTGCCATCAACAGGATCGCCTTTATTACATGGGCGTATACCGTGTGCTCAGCCTCCGCAGCGTCCCGGGTTGCGTTGCCGTGGGCGACATCCCGCCCGACATCGTGAGATGCCAATTGCTGCCGCTTCTCCCACTGACGATGCCCCAGTCTCGCTTTGCTGTCTTTCGCGCCATGCGGGTCCGCCAACATGACCTTGAGGACACGCTCAAGCTGGCTCAGAACCCGAAGTTCGCCGCTACCACCGGCCCAGGCCGGCCGACGGTCGAGAGTTTCGGCCTGCAGCTTCTGGGGTATGATGACGGAGTGCGGGATATGCTAAGCGTGTACTTCCGCGGCGTCGGCGCATGTGAGCCGGCGATAAAGGCGACGCCGATGGCGCAGACACAGTTCAAGGTTTGGAGTGGCCCGAAGAGGAAGTGGGATCCCTCGGACAGTCAGAGGGACACTGATGCCGCCGCGCCGGATCGGAAGAAGGGAAATTGGACTCGCAGCGAGGGCACGTAGCGCAGGGGTGGGGGCAGCTGGGATATTTATTGTTGTCCTTTTCGATCCTGTAGTATTTTCATCAATCAACATCTGAATGTGTGACCTTATGCATTTCTCATCCTAGTTGTGTCTACAAAAACAGATCTGAGATCTCATTTAATACATCCATCATCTGATTGACTCATTCTGGTTTTTGTAGCTGATAGTCTACTATGTGATTCTTCTTCAACTGATAGTATTATTGCCAACTGGTAACTACTAGCCTTGTCACTATGAGCCAGAAGAATATTCACAGTACATAGGTACTATGGCAACAATAACAGTAGAAGTAAGTAGTCCTAGTTAGTATTTGGTTAGTATACAAGGTGGTTTTGTACAAAGTTCATAAGTTTCAAACACATTGGGGTTTTGCGCCAATACAGCCACAGGAAGCAGGACTTTTTGTGAGAAATTAGGTGCCAAAAATGGGCACACAATTTCCAACAAATCAGAGCTACAGATCCGTGAGCACGTGACGTCAGAATTACCAAATGAGGTAATTCCAACATCACATGTAACATCATATGCTCTGCGACCAGGGCCTTGGATTTATTCAAAATCTAGGCCACTGATGGAACCCCCCCTTTCAGCCCCTCGGAGACGTGTCTGATTCCGGTTCCGACTCCGGTCTGGCCCTCCATCTCGCCTGCACAATCACCGATCCATCAACACCCTCCCGAGGGTCGCCCTAGGACCTTGCCTGCGACGCCACCCAAGCCTTCTGTGCCCGACAGCAGCAGCTACAGACAAGCAGTATATAGTCAGCTCCTGAGCAGGCGGACCCTTAGAGTTTCTTTTCTTTGGATCCTCCCCTGCTAGGACCTTGATCTCAGGCCTCCGGGGTTGCCCTTACAGCAGAAGAAACTCTCTACAGGATCAACCGGACAAGATTGCCAGGTTCGGCGCTGACTCAAGCTCGGAATACGACTCCGTTCTGCCCTCGTCACCACCCCCTGTCACTTGTCCCCTCCTCCTCCACTCCTGTGGTCCCCGCACCTGTCATGCTATCCGGAGTCACCCCCACCGCAGATGCCCGGCTGGACTCACTCGAGGCGAAAATCAATAGCCTAACTGAGGCCCTTGCTTTACTCACCAACCAGGCTTCCGCTGCCGCTGCTGCTGCTAATACTGCTGGCAGACACCAAACACCACCACTGCCGGAGACGTCGATTCCGACTCCGACTCCGGTCCAGGGCGACTCCGAAGCCCTCTTTGGCAACATCAACCTCACCTCAAAAATGGTCTTGCGACCAAACCCCCATTCACCTTCAATGGCAATAGGAAACGTGGCCGCGCATTCCTCTATGCGGTTCGCACCTACGCCCACCTTGCCCTTGAGGCCTCGATGAGTTGCTTATCCGGACCTCAAGGACAGAGTCCCGGAGTGGGAAGTAAAGGAAATCTTGGATGCAAGGGTGAGGTATAAACAGCTGAATTACTTCATCAGATGGAAAGGCTACGACACGTCGCACGACCAGTGGATCCGCTTCGACCGTGTCTTCGCCCCAGAGAAAATCGCAGAGTTCTATCATAAGTACCCTGGCAAACCACGGCACATTGCCTCTGCAACCTTCAACACAATTCCGTTCCGGTCTATATGTCGGGATGCTGCATTCAAAGGGGGGGGGAGGGGTGATGTAAGGGGGGGGGCTGCATCACCAATGGCGCCACTCTCCAAAACGTCATTTCCTGCTTCGACGTCTATAGTATATACACTCTAAGTTCACCACTCTCATACTTATATCCACATATATTCAGGCCTATGAGCTTGGACAGCTCACTCTGTCATAGGCCCATTGTCAAGCAATTGATGAGAGGTGAACATGTTGAGGAGTTGATATAGCTTGCCATGTGTGTTTGAAGGTTCTAGGTACATACATACATACACATATACACATACACATACATACACATACACATACTTATATAAAATTTTTTGCAAAAAAAAAGTTTCACAAAGATTGAATTTTTTATCCTTGATAACATCAGTGGTCACATGACGTTGATCGTGAGAATATATTACTATATATGGCAGGAGGGGGAGGGAGTTGCGAACATTTTAGCAACGTCACGCGGATGCACAGCATCCAAAAAGGAAATTCGGGCATGTGACAGCGCCATGGGTCGGGATTGATGCGCCGGACTATGCATACACTAGTGGCAAGTTGATGAATAATTTATTGGGGAATTTACTAGTATTGTAGAGATTTTAGTATTCTCTTGAATTACTACACATGCAGCATGCCGACTATAGGCGGGCAACACTCGGGCCCTTCTGGGCCGACAACCACCTCCGGGCCCGTTGCAGGCCCGCTCTGCTCGCCGTCCCGCCATCTCCCCGGTCCTCCTCTCCTTCGGCTCCCCCACTGCGTTCCGCCCTTCCCCCGCCCGGCCTCTTCAGAATCAGACTCCCAGTGATGTCAACACAGGTGATCGCGCCTTTGACGGCCCCCGCGAACGGACACACTGCGGCCGGCCGCTCCGGACAGTGTTGGGCACAACGGGCTATGCCACCCGGCCCTGCTTGAAGCCACCCGAAACTGGGGATCAAGCGTGAGGTGTGACTCACCAGTCACCCATTGTGTGATGGTCGGGGCCGGGCGGGCGTCGGGCCCATGTGATGCTATCACCCGTTTGGGAAAGCACGTGACGTTGCTAAAAAGTTAATAGCTAGGGGAGGGGGTCCCCAGAGGTTGGAAAAAAACTTTCCGACCCTATATCCATGTTTTGAATCTTGAACCCCCTTGGTTCCCAGTCATTCTGCATACTCGCAGAGAAATACTCGCTCGACGGTGTATATGAGAAAGGCTGGGGCATATTTGTGGTACCAACAACTGCGCTTGCCGTGAAGCGCGACCTTCACCTCTCTGCACCCCATCCTCAGTATGATCTCTACATGCCACAACCGGCCGCCAGGCTCTTTCAGCTTGCAGTCCCAACAGATTGTGTTGTCTGTAAGGGCAACCCCGGAGGCCTGAGATCAAGGTCCTAGCAGGGGAGGATCCAAAGCGTGAACATTGGTAAGCGAATACAAATGAAGCTGACCTAGCAGGGGAGGATCCAAAGAGAAGAAACTCTAAGGGTCCGCCTGCTAGGTAGCTGACTATATACTGCTTGTCCGTAGCTGCCGCTGTCGGGCACAGAAGGCTTGGGCGGCGTCGCAGGCGAGGTCCCAGGGCGACCGTCGGGAAGGCGTTGACGGATCGGTGATTGTGCGGGCGAGATGGAGGGCCGGACCGGAGTCGGAACCGAGTCGGACCGGAATCGGGCGCGTCTCCGGGCCGAAAGGGAGGTTCCCCTGACATCACCCCCCTTTGAATGCGGCGTCTCGACGCATAGACCGGAACGGAATCGAGTCGAAGGTCGCGGAGGCGATGTGTCGTGGGCTTGCCAGGGTACTTACGATAGAACTCCGCGATTTTCTCCGGGCGAAGACGCGGTCGAAGCGGACCCATTGGTCGTCGCGATGCGTCGTAGCCTTTCCATCTGACGAAGTAGTTCAGCCGTTTATACCTCACCCTTGCGTCCAGGATTTCCTCTACTTCCCACTCCGGGACTCCGTCCTCGAGGTCCGGAGGGGGCTGGTCGTAGCCGGGCGTCCGTCAAAGGGGTCGTCCTGGGCGAGCTCGAGCTTGACGACGGGGAAGACCGGGTGGAGCTTCGAGTAGCGCGGAGGGAGGTCGAGCTTGTAGGCACCTTTGCTGATCTCCGCGACTATCTTGAACGGTCCAAGGCGGCGATGGGAGAACTTTTCCGAGGGGCGAGTCGTCCTGATGTCAGAGGCATCCAGCCAAAGACGGTCGCCAACCTTAAACTCCGGAGACGGAGTCCGTCTCCGGTCGTAGTAGCGCTTGTACTCCTCTTTGGCCTTAGTGAGCGCGGCCTTGGCTTCAGCAACACCAGTGGCGATCCGGTCGGGAACTCGTTCACTGACTCCATGGCAGAACGGACTCCGGGTTCGAAGCCCATGCGCGGGAGCCGTCCCGTGTCCGTCATGAAGGGGACCTGCTGCGTGGAGGAGTGAACGTGGTTGTTGTAGGTGAACTCCGCGGCCGGAATCAGCTCATCCCAGTCGTCCTGCTGGTAGTTGGTGAAGATCCGCAAGTACTGCTCCAGCTCCTGGTTGACGCGCTCTGTCTGACCGTCTGTCTGCGGGTGGTATGCGGTGGACGTGGCGGGCTTGATGCCGATTAGACGCCACAGTTCTCGGGTGAAGTCCGCGATGAACTGCGAGCCGCGGTCGGAGACGTACTTCTCCGGAGTCCCATGGTGCCGCCAGACATTCCGGTAGTAGAGGCGGGCTGCCCCTACTGCATCGACCGTCGTATGACACTCTGAGAAGTGGGCGCGCTTTCCGAGGGTGTCAACGACGACCATGATCGCGTCGTACCCATGGGCTTCGGGAAGCTCTACGATGAAGTCGACGGAGACGGTATGCCAGCGTTCCGGGGCGTTTCCGTGGGGTGCAGTTCTCCGTGGGGCAGTCTCCGGAGTGCCTTGGTGCGACAGCACAAGTCACAGGTCGCAACATACCGGCCGATATGGCGAGACATCTGAGGCCACCAGTAGTTCCGGGAGACCAACTCCAAGGTCTTGAAACGACCTGCGTGTCCGGCGACTCGGGTGTCATGGCAGAGCTCGATGATGCGTCTCCGGAGGTCCTTGTCCTTTGGTACAACGATCTTCCCTCGGAAATGGAGAAGACCGCCGGAGACGGCCCACTCGTCAGACCGTGAGGAGGCGGGGGCCTCGAGCTTGACCTTGAACCTTAAGAAGTTGCCGGGCCGCTAGTGCGACGGGCTCCTCCAGGTCAGGCTCACCGGAGAGGGCATCACGGATGTCGCGGAGGAGTTCAGAGCCGGGACCGGAAACGGAAACGCCCTCGAGTGCGCGGACGTGGAAGAGTTCAGGCCGCAGAAGGACGACGTCGGAGTTGTCAGAATCGACTCCGTGGTCGGGTCTCCGGGAGAGGGCGTCAGGTCGACCCATATCGCGGCCAGGCTTGTGGTGCAGCGTGAAGTCAAACCGGGAGAGGTACAGAGACCACCGGGCTTGCCGACGATTAAGGTGTTGCGCCTTTCGGAAGTATTCCAAGTTCTTATGGTCAGTCCAGATCTCAACCGGATGCGCGGCACCCTCGAGGAAATGCCGATACTCCGAGTGCGCGGATGATCGCGAGCATCTCCTTGTCGTGAATCTCGTAGTTGCGCTGGACATCATTTAAGCTTTTGGAATAGAACGCTACAGGGTGCCACTTCCCGTCCGGGGCGGATTGTGAAAGAACCGCCCCGTCGCATAATCAGAGCTGTCCGCCTCGAGTCGGAAAGGCCGTGCGTCGTCCGGAATCGCCAGGACCGGTTCCGGGAGGTGACCGCGTCCTTGATCGCTTGGAACGCGGAGGCCTCCGCGTCGCCCCAAGTCCATTGCTGGTCCTTCTTGGTGAGCACGAAAAGAGGGCGCGCAAGGGTCGAGAAGTCCCGAATGAACCTGCGGTAGAAGTTAGCGAACCCAAGGAACTGCTGAATGTCCTTCTTGTTTTCCGGAGTCGGCCAAGCGGAGACGCCTGCGACCTTGACGGGGTCCATTTCGACGTGGTTGTGGGAGATGATGACTCCGAGGTACTCGATTGACGATTTGTCAAAGTCGCACTTCTCCGCTCGAAGGTACAACTTGTGCTCCCGGAGTCGCCGTAAGACCTCCTGGACAATCTGCCGGTGTTTCCGGAGGTCGGAATGGGTGATCAGGATGTCGTCAAGGTAGATCATGACGTCTCCGGAGAGGATGAGATCCTGGAAAATGTCATTCATCATCGTTTGGAACGTCGCGGGAGAGTTTGTCAGGCCGAAATACATCACCAAGGGCTCGAACAGGCCTCGGTTAGTCCGGAAAGCCGCTTTCCACTTGTCACCTTCCTTGATCCGGACGTTGTTGAAGCCCCAACGGACGTCGAGTTTGGTGAAGTAACGAGCGCCTTTGAGCCGGTTGATGAGGTCGTTGATCAGCGGAAGGGGGTACCGGTTTTTGACAGTCATCGCGTTGAGAGCACGGTAGTCCTGGACGAAGCGGAGTCCGCCGTCCTTCTTCTTGACGAAGAAGACCGGAGACGCCATCAGAGACTTGGAGGGGCGAATCCGGCCCGTCGAAAGCCCTTCCTCGATGAACGCGTCGAGCTCGCGTTGCTCGAGGGGCGAGATGGGGTACACCTTGCAGTTGGCGGGCTTAGCGTCGGGGATGAGTTCAATGGCGTGGTCCCAGGCTCTCTGCTCCGGTAGCGTGTCGAAGGACTCCTTGTTGAAGACGTCCTGGAACTCCTTAGCCCAGTCCGGGATCTCGGAGGGCGGAGGGGCGGAGTTCCTGGCGAAGGCTTCGGCCAGGCGTTGCGAGACAGTACTGCCAGCGCGTATCTCCTCCGAGGGGCGGAACGAGGTGTAGAAGATGCGGTCACCATCTTCAAGCTGACCATCGTCATCGTCGTCGTCGGAGTCCGGCGTCAGATCAGGCAGGCCGGAGTCGTCACCGGAGACGGAATCGTCTCCGTCATCAGACCCAGAAAGGTCCATGGCGCAGACCGAGGGGAACGGGCCGGAGCGGAGACGCTTCTGAAGCGACCGGAGTCGCCGCAACTCGGTCCGTTCGACGCGCTCTTCCTCACGGCAGGTCGAGCAATTGCGGGGGCACCGTGTCATCTTGACCTCCTTGGTTTCCCAATTGATCTCTGGGTTATGTTTCCGCAACCAGGAATACCCCAGGATGAGGTCTTGCTTGCCAAGATGGGTGACGGCCAGCTGAACTCGTTCGGCATGGCCCTTGTAGCGCAGGACCAAGTCCGCGATCTGTTTGATGGAGCCAGCGTCATTGGGGGTGCCATCGACATTGAAAACCGGAATCGGCTGATCGAGGGTGCGGACCGGAATGCCATTCCGAGCAACATAGTTCGTGTCAATGAAGTCGGAGGTGGCACCACAGTCGACAAGCCCCGAGGTGAGAGCTTCAGCGCCTAGTGGTGGACTCAAGCTCCAACGGGAGGTGGAGGGAGTTCGCCCGGGGGCAGCGGCAACGGTGTACTGCTTGGGCAGTTTCTTTTCCCAGGCAGTGAGGCGGCGGAGGACGATGACCAGAGTCGCGGGCGGAGTCGGAGACGGAGTCGAGGCGGGGGCAGGAGAGGGTGTGTCTTTCGTTTCGGGCTCATTGTAGGGCAAGGAACTGCATTCATCATACAAGGAGGCAAAACGATTTATAGACGCGAACGAGGGCACACCAGTCACTCGTCGCGGGGGACAAAATCCTCTCCGGCCATCGACTCCGCTATCGTCTCCGGCAGGGCAGCTGTGTCCGTGTAGCGGGCGATCAACTCCGCTAACATCTCGTCGCCGAGTTGTTGGATCACCTCGTCGAGGATGTCCATCGAGCGGACATCGGCGGGGAGGGGGCAATCCCGGGCGAGATGGTTTGGGTCGCCGCACCTGAAGCAGGCGCGGCGAGGGGCACCCCGAGCCCTGGTGCGGTCCAACTCCATAGGGACGGGAGCTGGAGGCGCCGGAGCGGGGGCGCGGGCCGCGGGTGGCACGACCGGAGCCACCGGGCGGAAGGGGGCCGGAGCCGGGATGCGGTTGACCGGAAACGGAGTCCGAATCAAACTGCCAGGCGTCTTGGGGGGGGCTGACTTGATCAGCTTGGTTCCGTTATTGATCAAGGGGTCAAGTCCGTGGCGGAACTTGGTCACCTTGACCAGCGCGTCTTCGAATCCGGCAAGGTCCATCAGGTCCTCGAAGTCGTCGGTGTACTGGTAGACATCCTTTGTACCCATGTGATAGGCGGAAGTCTCCAGCTTGGAGAGAGCGTGATCTTGCTCATTCTCCTCGACGAACCGGAGTCGAAACTCGGAAACGAACGAGCCCCTGGTTGGTGAGTAAAGCAAGGGCCTCAGTTAGGCTATCGATTTTCGCCTCGAGTGAGTCCAGCCGGGCGTCTGCGGTAGGAGTGACTCCGGACGGCATGACGGGTGCGGGGACCACAGGAGTAAAGGAGGAGGGGACAAGTGGCAGGGGCGGTGACGAGGGCGGAACGGACTCGTACTCCGAGCCTGAGTCAGCGCCGAACCTGGCAATCTTGTCCGGTTGATCCCGTAGAGAGTTTCTTCTGCTGTAAGGGCAACCCCGGAGGCCTGAGATCAAGGTCCTAGCAGGGGAGGATCCAAAGCGTGAACATTGGTAAGCGAATACAAATGAAGCTGACCTAGCAGGGGAGGATCCAAAGAGAAGAAACTCTAAGGGTCTGCCTGCTAGGTAGCTGACTATATACTGCTTGTCCGTAGCTGCCGCTGTCGGGCACAGAAGGCTTGGGCGGCGTCGCAGGCGAGGTCCCAGGGCGACCGTCGGGAGGGTGTTGACGGATCGGTGATTGTGCGGGCGAGATGGAGGGCCGGACCGGAGTCGGAACCGGAGTCGGACCGGAATCGGGCGCGTCTCCGGGCCGAAAGGGCCCCTGACATTGTCTCCAGCAGGAGTTCAGTGTACTACAAAATGGATAGTGCTAGCCAAATATGATTATATTATTTTATGGGCATAATATATTCTAATCATATCATATTGAGAGCTCCAACACAATAATATATTTGTAGTATAGTACAATCATATTCAGCTGCACAATATGAATATGTTATGAATATATTCAACTATAATCTAGTATGCATATATGCTGCTAGAAAAAAAATTAATGCATAAGATACATGCTGGATTGTCAGGGCAACTTCCTTCTGGGCCTCTCTAATCCCAGCCTTGGATACATAGGACTCTCAAAATACAATCAGGGGCATTGCCACTCTCGATTGGCAATACACCCACGGCAGCTGCCCATCTTCGATATGCGCCTTCATCCAACTACACGGAAAATCCGCAAGCACCTGCCCAAGTGACACGGTGTTTCTCTCGAGCGGTTTAGGTGACCACGTCCCATCGTTTTTTTGCTTTTCAATCTGATTGTCTCTTGTTCAGGCCGGGATATCGTCGTTGGCATGGTATACCTCTTCCACCGACCGGCCCGTGAAGCGGCTGAAACAACAGCTTATCTCCGCCTTTGCGCATATCAACGGAGGGAGCTTGACGTTCTCGCTTCCTTCCGACAGCCCTTGCGCGCTAGTGGCAACGGACAACATATTCGACCGACTGGTCAATGGGGTGGACTCGGAGGCGGCCCGCGTGTGTGTGCAGACGGTGAGCGCAGAGAATGCCCTCGGGGAATTCGTGCGTATCGAACAGGCAGTTGGCGTGCGGCAGGAGAACGAAACAATCACGGTGCATGGGCAGAAGCGCTGCGAGAAGCGTTTCCGAGTCCAGACCTGAAACCCGCGGATCGATGAATCTGCCAGTGGATGATTTGAATTCTTCGGTCTCAGCCTGGTGTGCCGTTCGGAGCCGGTGCTGGCTATATTCTTGTTCGCCGGCGCCCTTAATGTTTTCATTTCGTCCACCTGAACGGCTAGGACATCGTGCGGGCCTGCCAGCGACAATCGATGCAACGGTGATGATCAGTGACAGATCGAAATTGTGATTGACATATGACATGCCCAGGGGCTGACAACGAGGATCTTCTTCTCTCCACTCCAGTGACTCTTCTCCCTCGACAACCCCCGCCGACGACGAAGAAAACGACCTGCGGTTTTCACCTTGGGTGACACCAGACCGCCAAAATCACTTGTTTTCGGCCGCTGAATGTGTAACAGGCCACCGCCCGGGTGTAGACGTCGTTTGGGCCAAGTGCATGCACATGGTTACCCAATGGTTACCTGGAAAACACAAGGATCGGCGTGGCGCACGGGGCTAGCTTTGGCCATGCGTCCCATTGCAGCGGCAGCCGGTGTTTCCTTCTTCTTCTCCTCCCCCCACGTTCCCTACACCTCGTCGCGCTTTGGAGCGCTGACCGCGAGTGGGGTGGTACGATGACGACGCCTAGCGCTCGCGAGCTTGAGGCGCTCACTACGTTTATGGCGGATGCGTGCGTTGTCTACTCGTGTTTAAGCAGGACTACTAATGCCTCCGTCCCAGATTCCTGAACCGCATCCTATTCATGATTGCCTTTGGTAACTATATGTCGAGCCTCCCTCCTCTTGCTGAACCCAGCGCTAGTTATCCTTATCTATGACCACTTCCTCACCCTTCCGACCGAAGTCCGATTCATCTGGTCGAACCCAATGCGTCCCTCCGCGCGGTGGTTCATCCTCAACCGGTACCTTGCACTGGTCACGAACATGGGCATGGCCTTCTTCACCTTTCTGCCCATCCCCGCATCCGAGTGCGCGGGGCTGCTGCTAGCGAAGAAGATCTTCCTCATGGCGCAGCAGCTCGTTGTACACTGTGCGGTTTCACCACATTCCCTGCCCTACTGAAGCGCTGACCATAAATACCAGCTATCCTCGTTCTCCGCGTGTACGCCATGTTCGGGCTAAACCGGCGCCTGCTATTCGGCCTCCTCGCGCTGGGATCCATAGTTGTGGGGGTCGGTGGGGTGCGTGGCTCTCAACACGGAATAATTTTCATCTTGCTGACGTTTAAAACCCAGTGGCTCACCGTCTCTCATGGTCCCCATCCAAAACCGCCCACAATGTTGCCGCCACCGACCGATATTGACCTGCTGGAGAGCATTGTGCTCGACGCGCGGCCAAACCGCTCAAAAGGGATCGTTCCGCAGGGCTTCCACCAATGCGCTGAGCCCATATTTCGCGCGTCGTGCGTGTCTGCTCCGCTGACTAACTCTCTACTTACCCTCAACTAGTGCCGTCCGGATCGCCGCCGCATGGGAGATCATGCTCTCACTCGAGGTGGTCATCTTTGCGCTGACCGTCTATCGTGCCATATCGTTCCGCCGCATACGTGTCGGAGGGAGGGAACAACTCCGGGCCCCGTTATTGACACGGTTGGTGCACGATGGGGTGCTGTACTTCCTGTGGGTCCGTCTCATTCAATTGGCGTTGATTTTGATTCCGTTTGAAGTGCCATAGCCGTGGTCAACGTTCCAAATTTGTTCCTCTACCACTTCGGCGACCCCTTCATCGCCGCAAGTATGTCTTGGGTATCATCCAAGTGCGTCTCTGCAGTATATATAAAATGTGCTATTGACGCTTATTAGCCTTGCCGCGATGCTTGTGGCACGCCTGATGTTAAACGTACACAAGGCGGTCGGGCCAGAATACTACGTCGACGAAGAAGGCCCCGGGCATGTTCTTAGCCAGAACCCGACGGGGAGCCACGCGTTGTGGACGTCAGACCTCGAATCGCGTGGGAGCATCGTGTTCGTGCATCACCGCCGCGCGCCGACCGCCTCATCGGTGCTCAAGGACAGCGACTCCGTGTCGGGAAGCGAGCGCGCGTGGCCGCCGGAGGTGGAGCGGTACATGCACCAAGTGCGCGTCGAACGGCGGGCCGGACCCGGCGCCGCGGAGGCATGGGACGACCGGCTCACGCCCCCGCCAGAGCGCTTGCGTCTGCGTCAGCCAGAGAGGTAATATTTATATATTTATTGCGTTTATATATGGTTCCGTTTCAGGACTCCGTGTGTATAGATTTGAGGATTTACATATTGTATCACAGCATGGTTAATTCATGTAAATACTTATTTCCAGGTCATGGTCAAGTCGCTGGATGCACCGGAGGATACACCATTTCGCAGGTTTTTTACTCAGGGCTTCCAGGCCCGAGTCACTAGACGGAGTGACAATGATTTGGAACTGATGAAATGAAACTTAGTCCCACTTCTATCCCTCGCTGAATGCCTTGAGTCCGTCAGGAAAATCAAGTCGTGGTGGTGCTGCAGCGACACGTCCGCAGGTAGACCGGACATTGGCCGCCCGATGAAGTCTTCAATCGTCTCAGGCGCTGCCGGTGCCAGTGCATCCGGCTCTTTGACAGGAAGGGTAACCACGGCGTTGGCCAGTGCGATGCACACGAAGGCCGTCAAGCCGTCATGAGCGATGGGCGCGGGGTAGCTTTAGGGAATTTGGATATTTTTTTGCTTGTTCTTCATTGCCTAGACACAAACATGGGAACCGTGCCGTTTGTTATAGTTGTTGGAGCGAAGCGGCGGGGGTTCATCGTGATGTTCGGCGCTCCATGGGGACGCCGATCCCGCCCCGGCGGAACCTGTCCTCTCTGTCAAGACGTCGCCCGTGAGCCATTTCCAATGGATTCCGCTGGTGCGCGAATGCAGCGCGCGTCCTCTTCCTTAAGCTACCCCCTCCAGCCTGAGGAACCCTGTGATCATGAGTTCTTGAGGTAAGATACCCAAAGTTCGCTGGAGATTACACCAAAATATCCTGTTATACGTCGTCAATCGCATCTCAGGCGCCGCACACCCATTTCTGCAACCAACAACTCAAACGGATCCATCAAGCCTTCAAACAAGCGACGCAGCGTGTCGAAGATATCATCGTCCTCCCATGCCGCCATTGCGCGCAGGCCGTCGATTGCGGAGAGCCCAGCGGCCGAGAACTGGTCGCGGTGGCGTTCAAGGGACACACCAGCGGAGCACCCCGGCATGGGCTGGCGCAGGAAGGCGTCCAGATCGTCAGGTGCTTCGGAAACGATGAGCCGTTCGGCGTGGTTTAGCGCGAGGACGGCCTTCTCCAGCGCGATTAGCTGGAATGCGGAGAGGCCGGGCTCTGCCGCTGCCGGGATTTCGAAGCGCCCTGCAGGTACGGGCCACCGGGCGAGGAGGCGGTTGAGGACTTCAGCGATTTCTGCACGTGTCCAGAGGGACATGGCGGTCATCTCGTTCATACCAATGCCCATCAGAGCGAAAAGAGCGCGGTAAGGGGAGAGCGATATGTGTGGCGATACACCGGTTTCGAGGAACTCATCAAGGGCGGTCCGGGGCTCCGGAGAAGAAGGGTGGAGGGAGGACGTGTCGGCGCCGCTGCTAGCGAAGTCTGGCGGGGAGCTCGAGGGCTGTCTAGACCGGCTCGACTCTTCTCCCGCGGTTTCATGTTCATCTTCCTGCGCGGATGGTATCTCATCTACGGGAGATGCCTGCAGCTCGAACGAATTATGCGTTGTTCAAGAAACAGAGGCTCAAGGACGCACTAAATGCGCGTCTTCAAGTTCCACAAAACGGGGGCTTCGAAAGAGAGGCGCTCCGTCTTGAAACGATACCGGCAAGCGTTCTCCATCAGGAATGTCCTACATTTCCGCCCTTTGTAAGTAACCGTTGGCTACGGGAGGCACGCACCTTCAAACGGAGAGCTTCAGTGCAGAACTGGGCATCGAGGTACTCCTTGTCATGCTGCTCCTCCCCTACTATACCCGGATATTGGCCGCGAACCACGGCGCGCACGGATTGCCACGTGGACTTGAGAAGAAACGCGATGTCGCTGGTGCCCAAGCCGCATTCGTTGTACAGAAAACGCGCCTTGGCACGGTCGGCGCGAGGCAGTACTAAGCAGCCCCGTCGCGTCGTCGGCGGTGTCCCTCTGCGCTGGGGTTAGATTCGGAGCATCTCCGCAAAGAGCATGAATGCGAAATAGACCGACCTGGGCAGCTTCAATCGCGCCGCCGTCTCTTTGTCCTGCCAGCCACCCCCGCTTGTGCGTGGCCGTAGACCGTATTTCGGCTTCGGTACAGCGGTTTTGGACTTCTGTGTCGACTTTGGGGACATATGTGACGATGGCGCGGCCGTGTACCAGCGAGCAGGAAAGTAGAGGTGGTCGTTGCGGCCAAGAGGGGTTGATGCCTCCGGTGATCAATTGATGGAATACGTAAATTTTCTCCGGATGACGTGGCTTCTTCTCAGCCACCACAGTCCACTGCGAAACTTACTCTGTCTCATAGTCCGCTGCACTTCGACCGGCATCGTTTGAGCTTCCTATCGAGCTCCTCTTCAAATCAACTTCAATGACATTGACTATCGTCTGGTCGCCTGGTACGACGCCTGCGGAAACGACACATGCGCGGAATACGGCGCATACGCTGGCGTCTGACTCTGTCCCGGAGCGCCCGCACTGGCAGCCGTGTGGCTCGTCCAGGCCAGCTGTGGCGGTGCCATCCACGGCGTCTTTTCTCCCCCGCTGTCACCGCTTCTCAGCCATACGGGCGCTTGTCCCGGAGGCAGCGCCCCTGGTCCACCCTCTGCATCCAGCGCCGCGCTGACGCGCCGTGTGTAGCGGTAATACCACCACCAGAGGACGATTATGATCAACAACACGAGGACGATCAAGGCGACTGGTCAACGGTCACACAAACTGGCTACGGAGAGTGGGGAGGTACTCGGAGGGAGGAGTAACGAGAATAGTGGGACTGGGACTCCCACAATGGGACCCAGTCCCACTTTGATGTGCCCGAGTGCCATTGTCGCGGCGCCGCGCTGTCCACGTGTCTGATGATCACCAATCGATCATTATCGATGGATCAAACGTCATCATCGGCGATCACGCTGCCAGCGCATCACCGCTATCTTGCTATCGACGTCCATCTTCTGCGCCGCAACACCATCCTGGCAGTCATGAAACAACATGCGGCTGGTCCGCTGACAATGATGCGCTGCGACTTGCTCCAATGGGCAACATGGGCGTTTACCAATCACCGCCTCCAACATCGTTCCAGCGAGTGCGGCCTCCTCGTGTACTATTGGATTCGCCTCGAGGCCAGTCCAGCTGCATCAACTGACCTCAGAGGTGGCTGCGGAGCACGCGAAGGACACTGGGGATTCGGCCCGAGTTCACAGTATAAAGAGGGCTGTCGGTCCTGTATTGCTTTTCAGTGTGCTGCTCCCACATTGAAGACGATGCCCGATCCACTCGACGGTGGGCTCTTATCGCCGTTTTATCTGTTTACTTATGATTACTTCACAGATGCATCTCTATTCGAAGCTGCAGGTGATTTCACGCTGAGTACAATCGAAAAATATCGCGACGAGGTATCTTTGCTCGCGAATACCTCCTAGCATAGCTCACTCCAACGGCAGATGTTCCCTGCCGCTCTCGGTGACCCTTCCCATGTGCCGTACTTCTCGGCGGAGCTGGCGCCCGAATGGATGACGGCGCAAGGATTCACTCTTTGGCAAGAGTACGATCCCAGCGAGCCCATACACCCTCTGCACACACCCGAGCACGCTAGACTCAACGAGCTTCGAGCATATCGGGCTCAGGTACGCCTATACTTATGTTGTTAGCAACGGGTCTCATTTGCTTCCACACAGATTATCGGCCCGGCATATCAGAAAACCCCGTTCTTTGATTTGGGGCGAACGCGGGACTGGGTCGCCCGCGGGCCATTTCAGGCATGGCTCAATGCTCGTCAACGAGACGAACCCCACAATCGAGGACGTACACCGTTCCGAAACACTCCAGCAAGTTCACGCCACTCATCCACTGGTATCTCGGTTGCCACAAGCCCCCTCCCCTCTCGCGCTGCCTCTGAGGCTGGCAGTCATGTTTTTTCGCGCGCTCCGTCCATCATATCCCGCTCACGCTCAGCCTCCCTCTTTGCGTCATCGCGAGGAGTTTCCGTGGATTCATCTTCGCGTGCTAGCTCCGTTGAGCCGCCCCAGCTTAGATCTGGGTTGCCGACGACTTGTGAGTGTTAGTTTTGTTGCAAGTGAAGCTACTGACAGGTATATGGCAGCGCGGCATAAACGCAAAAGGAGCAGCGGCCCTCCATTCAATCAAGATCACGCGGGAGCTCTCTGTCGACAATATCATTCGGCTCAACGCTGCCCCGAAGACCTGGACGGTCCCGCGCGACTCCAGTGCATATCTGCTCGATGTCTCCGCCACTCCAGAGGTTCTGGTTACCCGACGCGGGAAGAGGCAGACCATTGATGCATACATCAAGGCTGAGGTACGCTCTGATTGCCTCTTTAATTCTCCGGTCTCATATTGGGGGTTCGTCAGGATCAGGATGCGTGGGATGGCTCAACGGGGCATAAGCGCGGCGATGTATGGGTATATGCGTTTGGCGAGCAACGTGTACGCGCCCGGCGTGCACAACTCCGTTGCAAGGGCGTTATGACGTGTGAGCACGCATCCGAAGAGCTATTTGCCGACTGCGAACGATTCGAACCGGACGAGGAAGTGATGCACGACCTCTGGAGCCACGAGCTGGACGCCAACGAAAGAGAAGCTGCATCTGTCGAGGCTATTATGTCCCGGTATGCACAAGTAATTTCTTTCACATGAAACTGAGCCCTACATCAGACTATATGTGCGCGCCATGAACTCCAAGTGTAGGGCAGACTGCGATGGGGTTCCTGTTCTCATTGCGCTCTACAATGTAAGTCACATGCACCGATGAATTAAAGTGACTCTCATGTCGAGCAGGGCCCCAACCAATATGGCAAGTTTTATTTTGTCGGCTGCTCGAAATGGACGGCCAGTGAGCGATGGTTGCATCGATACATCCCCATTCCACCCAACGTCGATGAGAACACCTTTAAATTTGTTATGGAGAGTGGCGGAAAACTCCCCGGGGCTGGTGAACTCGACTTTAATCGGCAATGTGTCCTGTCTGTTCATCCCCGACTTGGTTTGAAGTATTGTGGTATGTTCCTTTGTTGTTTATATCGCGCTTGCTGACGAGAATATAGTATTCAGCCATGTACTTGGTGGGCAAATTCAATCCGCTCGCATGGTTCCGCACAAATGTGAGACGAAAATGATTGTATTTATCCCAGTCCGTCCGCCCAGCAACACGAGCCATCCTGACTGGTATCAATGGCGGGATGAGTATGAGCACCTCGCCTTGGTCTACCTCGAGAATGCACATGGGCATCCTGTCCACCCTGAGAATAAGCCTAGTGGACAGGATACCCGTCGACTGGACGAGGCGATGGATGCACTCGGGGTTGAAAATCTTACTGTGCAAACACTCCTGAATGGTAAGAGCACTCTTTCGAACAGACATTGTGCTGACATTGACATAGCACAGTCTACTTCCGCACTTTATGGTGGTAGACAGGTCAGCGATGTCAGCCCTGCGTTTGCAGATGTCCGCAAAATTCGGGACCGGATTGCTCAGCGCCGAAAAGAGGAGTTTCCGAAGGGCACTGGCTGGGAAGGTGCGTTGGTCTCTTGAAAGACTGAGATATGCTAACGGTCACCAGGTGTTCTACACTACATTGCGACCAAGGAGCATGAACTGCCAGTTTCACAGCGCTACATTCATGCTGCGATTACCAACGCTGACTACAACATTGTTGTGACAATGCATCCGGCGCTTGCACAGCACATCCACGGTGTCCTTGCGATCGCGATCGACTATACGTTCAAGCGGGTGGATGGAGATCTGGATGAGTGGGAAGTCGTCGGCTTCTCGGAGCGATATAAGCGCCGTATGTGTATTTTTTGAAACCTGCCACTCACTTCCAACCAAAATACTGCAGGTATCTGCTTTGCGACACTCTACTGTGACCGGAAGACCCGACCGTCATATGAGCGGTTATTTACAGAGTTTTTCGATACAATCAACCGTGTCACCGGTCAACAATTCCGTTTGCGTCCTTTTTTCCCCGATGCCAACTGCCGCGCTGTCATTATGGATGGTGAAGTTGCGCAAGCACAAGGGTTAGGCGACTTTCTCATGCGCTACAACATGCCCTCAATCAGCAAAATCGAAGAACTCGAGCCTCTTACGTTGATTCAATACTGCCTCAAGACTTGCACCACCCATTTTCAAAGGTACGTCAATCCGAAACCAAATCTAGAGTAGAGTTTGAATAACTTCTAGGCATATCGATGAGCTCTCGCGCGCGAAGGTCCCCAGCGATGTGATAGCACGACTCAAATCCATCCTCGGATTGACGACACAAGAAGACATTGACGCCTGGCATAGCTTCTGTCGACGACAAACGATCCCTGAAGTGAAAAGTATGTTAATTTTATTTGCGTACATTATAGCTCACAGTGCATGCTAGACTGGTATGCCCAGAAACTGGCAAATCCCTGGTACCTGGCCTCCGTTAATGTATTTCTCTCCCGAATCACACCGGACGATCACCGACTCACTCCAAATACCACAAATCTGGCCGAAACGGCCCACGCTGGTATGAATGCGCAGACATCGACTCGATTGGCGCTCCTGCCCGGAATTCTCAAGTGAGTCTTCAATGTTCGGACAGCTATGCATTCAGGCATAACTAACAAATTGGTTAGGAAGCAGGCCCGGGACAACACATTAGTAGATGAGCTGCGTCAAGCAGCCCGAGGGGCAATGCGCAAACGATGGAATGGTGTTGCTGCCCGCGAGAAACTGTCGGCACAGCGTCAAGAGTGGTCGGCACATGCTGCCTATAATCGCAACGAGCAGCTCTTGCGCTTCGATGAGCTCTCTCTAGAGCGAACCGAAGGACAGGAGGAGTCGAAGCTCTCGCTTGCTCGGGAGAAACAGCTTCAGAAGGATGTCGAGCGGCTGCAGGATGAGATTCGGGTTGATAAGCGGCGCGATGACTTGAAGGACGAAGTAAAGGTCTTGCGAGCGGAGATTGCCGCCGAGAAACAGGTGCGCCGTGACTGGGGAGCCCGGCGAAAAGAAATCGATGGCGAGCTTCGGGCGCTCCGGGCCGGTCCGTTGAAGGGTGTGCAGATCAATGGTCGTCGAGCCGACAGAGCCGAGGAAGGTGCGAGCCAGACTGGTATGTCAGCACATATAGATTAAGGCCTGCACTTACCCTTGATAGAGTTCACCCCGGTATCCCCCACGCTGCTACCTGCCTCTACTCTTTTGCCGGAGCAGTCCCGCCACGATGCAGGGCAGACCGCCGCTCCCATGCCCGTCAATGATTTCGACTTTTCCGGCATGGACTTGTCATGTTTTGACGATGTCAGCATATCCCCGCTTCTCCCGCAGGCATCTCTGCCGAACACATCACCTACTGCACCGCCGGCGTCTCCAGTGGATTTGATACCCGACCCTGCTCCTTCAGCGGCAGCGCAGGCTTCCGATACACTGTCCATTCTGCAGGAGTGGGAGGCAGTCTACAGCGCCAGCTGATCGGAGTCCGCGGGCATTCCACCCACACCCCTCACTGCTGGGTCGCCCTCAGTGTCACACTTGGTCGATACACTGCCAGCATTGGCATCTTCCGCTGGTGCGCAACTTGCCCCGCCATTGACTCCAGCGATTGGTCACCCGAGCGCCGCATCTTCCAGTGCCGGGGCTGCAGGTGTTATACCGTCCACAGCACCCCCGCAGCCTCGCCGCAGCACCCGCGAGAGGGTCCCCAAACGGCCAGCAGACTTTGAAGTGCCGTTACAGCCCGCCAGACCGAAGCCGAAGCGCGCTAAGAAGGATCCGTTGGGTTGGGGCTGTGAAATTGATGGTGTGGTATATGAGTCGGCACGTGCAGCAGCCGCACAGGTTCCGGATCGGTTTGCAGAGGAATTTCCTGGCTATGTCGATGAATTGTCACGCCCATCAGAATAATTTGATGACCTTTTAATGTCCGCTCCGGGAATCAGATTCGTGATCGACAGCGATGTGCTCGCAATCCCATTGTCAGCATCAAAACATGGGACTGGCAGCATCAAAGTGGGACTGAGTCCCATGTGACGAGTCCCAGTCCCATTATTCTGGTATATACTCGTGGGGAGGACACACCGATGAAGGGCACAGGCTGCGAGCTGGGCGCATGAGGGACGAATGATATTGCGGCGACATGTGTGGGGAGGAAAGCGAGAAAGGAAACGAAGGCCAGCCTGGCGGGGCCCTGGCAATGTTCGTGAGCGGGCGCGTGGTCAGCTTTCGTGAGCTGTCAACAGGCAATCATAGTGCCATGTGTTACCTTTTGCATGCCAAGAGCGATGGAGGGATGGTTTGTGGGGGAGGGGAGCTCAGCGCATTTGTCGCTGACTTTGATCCCATCAACTGAGTTCGAAATTTCTTAGCTTCAGTGCATAAGGGCGTGAAACTCAGTGTATATTGATGATCTACGTTCTACGCACAATTCTATAAGTCATACTTACTGGCTCTCGCTGCTCAGCCGGCCCTCCGCCCGTTTCCCACGATCCCAATGGTCTCGCTCGTTTGCAACGCGGCCTTTGCGCGAGCCCTGGGCACCAGGCCGAGTGTACCCACGGCCACTCGCCGGCCCCTCGGCCGCCAGCTCAGGCACCGTCGGCCGCAGAGACCGGCGCACACAGCGTCGCGGTCGCAGCACACACGGCGGCCCTGGACCGGCTGCTCCGCCAGCCGTAAGGAGCGCGACGCTGAACGCTGGACCTGGACACCAGGCCGAATCTACTCACAGGCCAATTCCGGCCTGATGCCAGCAGTGACTCCATGCCCAGCGCGACTCCCCTCGCCTCGCTGTCCCCCGCCATAGTCCCGTCTCGGTCGGTACTTGACGCCATAGTCCCGTCTCGGTCGGTACCCGAGTCTGTCGCCGTTGAGAGGCGCGGACGCCCGGAGGCGCACCCGGACGTCCGCGCGAGCGTGCGGCCTATTGCGCTCGGGTTCAGCTGATGTGGATGCGGCTAGACACAACTCACCGGGCACCCCGCCTTCTCCCTGCTCTCGCCGTCCGTCGTGCAGCGCGGTCCATCGGGCTGGCGGGTTCAGTGTCGGAGGGTGATGTCGGGGAAGGGGAAGGGGGGGATATGGTGGTGGTTGCGGAAAGAGAAGCAGTCGGACGTTGTCACGTTGATTGTGTCACGGTGACGCTCCGTGATCTTACGAAAACTGACGGTCGGCTAAAAGCTGCCATCAATCTCACGAATGATGGCGTTTGATCTCACGAAAGCGAATCACGCGCCCGCTCACGAACATTACTATTACCCGCCTGGCGAGCGCCGGGCTCGAAGAAAAGAGGGAAGGTGCCATAAATGGCGAAAGAAAGTGAAGAGGAGGGATGCCGGGGCAGCCACGTCGCACTCTGGACCGCTTGCAATGGACTTATACTCAGGTGCGCTAGTTACCCGCGTCTGCTCAATTTGACGTGTGTCCCGGTCAATCAGCGCGGGCAGAACAGGTATAAAAATACGGACAAGATGGGCGCTGATTCGGACCCTACTCGGCGTGACCTCGTGTGTACTTACGAAGATACTTACGAATGACACCATCCACCTCTGTCTCAGTCTACGCCTGCCCGACCCGGGCGCCTCCGGCAACACTAGCAGAGAAATCATGCCCGGGCCCGGTTTCGGAGTTCCACGGTGCGGCAGCAGAGTCATCTTTTCCTGCAGTGGAATCCTTATACGAACGGCGTTGCCGGCGCAGGCCAAGCTGCAGGAGGATTATGAGAACCGCAATGACGGTGAGTACGATGACAACTTCGATTGCCTTCAGTCTGCTTATTATACCACCTGCAGATTCAAGAACGCACCAATCTCCGGGGCCCCGAGCGCACTGGCTGCCTCCACGGGGAGCGCGACGGGGAGCGGTGCGGCGGTGCAGCGGCGGACGTGTTCCAGCACGACGCTGCCGATAACCGTAACGAAAGTGCTGAAAAGCATGCCTGGAGTCTGGCGCAGCCAGCCAGAGTCAAATGAAACGGATTCAAGTTCCTCTAGCAGGAGGGCATTTTATAAGGAGCCCCTCCACGCAATATCATCACACAGGTCTCGATCGGAAACTATTCTTGCCCCTCTCAATCACCGCGTCCCATGCACCCACTGTTTCCGAAGAGACGTCTATCTGCGCTCGTTGCTGATCGAGACCCGCCGTGCACGCTCCACACTAGCTATCCGCGAGTAGCTACTGCCATCTTCGCGCATCGAGAGTGAAGGTACACGCTCCATCGTCGCTGCATGGTGCATCGGCTCGTCCACGTGGAGCTGCTCGGCGGGGAGTGTCGACGCTTCCAGCCCGGGCAGCGCACTGTGCCTCCGCCACACGCAAAAGCCAACCACCGCACAGATGGCGACGATCAGGACGACGACTGCACACGTTGTCATCATGCTGCACACGGCGGGAGGTTGAGAAGCCTACGCACCAACGATCGCGACTATCGGCAGCTGTAGTTCTCTGTCCGAGGAATCCGAATTGTCCGCTGGCCATATAACGATGCGGCCAGCCGCAACGGAGTGCACCGTACATGGTAGAATGAACAAAGCTGGCCTCCCCAGATATTGCATAGGAAGGAAAGAGTCCGAAAGACTATGAGGAGAACTTGTAGGAATTGTGCGACTCTCTATTCAAGTTGACTAGTACTTGAAATACAATGGATTTGTAGCGGGAGGGACAATATCAGAGCGCTCACGCCGGGAGTGAAAATGATCAGCGCCTGGATATAAGTACGCGGCCCGACTAAAGCTGACAATGGACACGTACTTCTACCGGTGTGATTGATGGTGCCCTGATAAAAAATTGCGGCTCAGCCGCGATAAAGCCCTGCCTCAATCCTGCGTATACGTTGGCGGTATATCCACAACCTCCAGCGCGGGGCCATAGCGCAGCCCGCTGTCCTCATGGTGCTGCACAACACGCCTTGGCGATGTGGTGGAGTTCCCCGCCAGTTTCTCCGATATGGTGCCAGCTGTCATGGGGGCAATTTGTTTGCGTTGCGATCGCGACAGCTGTGGCCCACGCCGGTGGTCGGCAAACGGCTGTGGCTCCCTGGCTTCGGCATCGGCGCGTAGGCGCTTGCGCCGATGTTTAATGGAGTAGAGAGTGCTGATGATGATTGCAGCCGCGAGGACAAGGCACCCGATGACGATTCCGACGATTAGCGCGACGTTTTGTGTCGCAACGTGCCGCGAGGGAATTTCCTGAGTGGGTGTGCCAGAAGGACCGGAAGAAACCGTGGAAGTGCCAATCGCGTTGACGACGTGGAATGAGCCGACAGGCAGAGGCGTGTGGCTCTGGTCACCGTGGTATGTGACGACCAGGTGGTGTGGCTTCGGGGCGAGGTTGGCCGCAGAAAAAATAACGGCGTTGTACTGCGTGACCGTGAGGCCAGGCGCGATGCCAGGGAGGTTCACGGTGACGGGCGACGCGTCATCGATTGTGTATGTTGCAGTTGTCGAATTCGGCGGGAGCTCAATGGGAATAAAACCGATTAACATAACCTCCGTGCCTGAATCTTGCATGTCAGCGGTGGCACTGGCAACTGGGAGAGTAAGTAGACGCACCATGGAAGTCCAACGCGACCTGCGCTCCGCTGGTCCGCGTGATGTTCTGCGCGCCCCACTGCTCCCAGCCCGCTCCGAACGTCACATCCGCATCCGTATTCGGATACTCAACGATGGCGCCGTCCACATTCCACCCCTCCTCGTCCACCGGCCGGTACACGATGTTGTCGAGATAGAACGCCCTGCCCTGGGTTGTATGCACCATGATTTGAAGGGTGTGTTGCCCCGGGGGGATGTTGTCCTGCCCGCAGAGCGACCAGTGATTTTCGGGAAAGGGAAAGGTCGGATTGGGCTGGGGAATCGCGATACCGTCGACAGTGCACTCCCACGTAGGGTCATATGTTCCATCTGCGAGCTTGACAACGCCGATGGAGCCGACAACGTCGACGAAGGTGCCTGCGAAGGCAAAGCGCAGCTGTGCGCCATCGAGGGTCGTACTATGCGTTGTTCCGCGGTAAACTGCCCCGTAGTTGCCCACGGCATTGAGCGCGGAGGCATCCGCAACCGCCCAGCCCGCATCATACTGGATGCGAGGGGAGACATCGTCGACAACGATCCGGCGGGACAGGACCATTGGTACATTCGTGGGGTGCGTGGCCGTATCTGCAGGGGAAAATAGCAGCGGCAGAGGCTATGTCAAGGGCAACACACGGGCAACACTTCTAGAGATGGATGCATGAACAGCATTTCCTGGCAGATAAACAGTTCTCACTTTCTATGGAGACTGTATTGTCGTGCGGGAGGCATCTGCCATCGGTCGATGGTGGCGAGTTGGTGGGAGAAGAAGCAGCCAATCCAATTCAGTATGGCGCTGTCAACCATCTTCAATAGCATTTTCGTTGAGAAGACTCAAAGAGCAGGCACCGGAGGAGGCAGGTCTTTCCTCCGCCATTGATGATGAGAGAGTGAGACAGAGAGAGAAAATGTGACACGTGTCAAGCGCTCGTGTTGATGGCGGCCGTTCGACTCCCGGTAACCCCAATATTTTAATTGTCGCATTGATTTGACTAAGTAACAGGTTCATAAGGCCTGTTATGAGATCACTGGATTATAAATTCATATGGCGGTTCCATCTAGGGCTTTGCTCATATGTGTTTCAAGGACGTGACCACATGACACTTCAGTGACTTCATGCTCCCATGTGTACACACAGATCAGTCTTCCCCTCAACAGCATTCCAAGGGAAGGGTGCTATGAATTGTCCCTTAACCTGTGACCACCATGCAGCAGCTCTCCCGCACTACTACCAACTTCACACTTTCGAGCTGGTGGTCCGATAGCAACCCTGGGGCAGGCTGGGGTGCTACAATTAACTTATATACAGCTGCTAAGCCACTGATGACTCAGAAGGTGTATAGGGCTCCCAACCGTACCCATCAACTTATGGCTGTACAGTGCCGTACAGATGGTACGGGATCCATACCGGCTCATATGGCTACATTGAGTCAACAGTACAGGTTGATGGCCGGAAGGTCCCATAATACGTTGTCACCCAGATGGCTGATATGTCCGTCACCGCCCGTACTTTCCGATCATACCGGGTGTCACAGCACTCGGCCGCCGCTGCCAAAAACCCGACTCGACCACCACCGCTAAACAGTGCTCGCAAGTGCTTGACTTGTTGATCCTCCAAACGCGTACCATGTCAACAACACCAGTACGACGCGCCAACCGCGCATTATGATGCATTTGCCTTGCCACTGTATGCACGTCAAGTTCAAAAGCTTGATATCTTATGTAAGCTATGAGGCCCATTGATTCAATATTGAGACCTGAGACAGGTTTCCCAAGGTCCCCTTGACCCTCAAGCTTCAGATTTGGCAACATTTTAACTCAAGGTTCATTACACACTTCCACAACCAGAATTTGAGTGATACCAACTTGATTGTTGAAGGGATGGTCACTTCTGGAGTATCAGTGTTTGAAAGCTTAGAAGCTAGTACTGATCACCCTTGGAGGCTTTGCAGCTCCTCTTCAAGAACTTCTTATTCATGTAGCTGACATAAAACTGGCAACTTCACTTCTCAATCTGTTTCAGAGGTACCTTAGGTATATAAAGATATGATGTGCAGCAAGGGGCGCCAACTATATACTGGTCGTCCGTAACTGCCGACGTAGAGCGCAGAAGGCCTGAGCGGCGTCGCAGGCTCTGTCCCAAGGTGATCGTTGGGAGGGTCTTGACGGATCGGTGATTGTGCGGGCGAAGGAGGCCATGGACGATGGTCGGGGTGGGTCGGAGCGTCCGAGGGGGCGCCGGTCGGATGTGCCTCGGATGCGCTCGGACGGTCTGAAGGAGGCCGAAGCAGGGGTTCCCCTGACATCACCCCCCCTTTGAATATATGGCCTGCTATCAGCCATATATACACCAGTATCAGTGACATCAGCAATATTCTAGTGGCCATCAGTCATGTGTACATCAAGATCACTCTCATCACTTATATTCCACTCATCATCAGTCATATCTACCAGGCTATCATTGTTATCACTCATATTTGATCAGCCATCAGCTATATATCCAGTGCCATCAGTGCCATCAGCGGAATTTAAGCAGACATCAAATAATCAAAGCATGTGACATATGTGACCATGTGATGCAATCATGATTTCCATTTTATTTGAGCCAGCCATCACAAGGGATCAAATAGTACCAATTTTTAAAAAGTATCATCAATTTCCGATTCAGGATCACTAGCCATCACTAGATCAAGCCCTACCGGCCATCACTGTTGACCCGGGCTGATTTGGGCCAGGCGACAGCTTATGAAAACTGTCCACTACAGCCAGGGGACTAACTAGAGTTAGGTATTTTGGCTCACTGCCGTCTAGCTACTACTAGGGTTTTTAGTCTAAATACTATCACTATGGCTCATGCTGGGACTGCCTCCCCGCAAACCAAGTGAACCACGAGCTCTCTCTCTTGACTCTCAGCCATGTCAAGGCTGGAGTGGTGCGTAATCCCCTTTAATTGTTATTTTTTTTTCGTCGGCTAACTCCCCTTTTTGCAGAATTTAACCGTTTGGGCTACGTGCTAGATCTCTCCAACCCCGACTTCATTCTGGGCTTCCGTCCCCTCGACGTTCCTGCCAACACACCCACTTTGGAGGAGTCCCTGCCTGCCGCCGTTCCTAGACCAAAGCCCAAGAAGACCACTACAACCCCCAAATCGAAACAACAACCCCAGCTGAAGTCTCCTAGTCCCATCCATATCGCTTCTGACAACGACTCCGACTTAGGGGAAGATGATGATGAAGATAACGATGAAGACGAAGATGACCAGGATGAGTCTGGTTCATTAATCTCCTTCTTATACTCCTCTTCATTGCTAACTAGTATTCCAGTTTCCATGAAGAAAGAACAGAAGCACAAGATGTCGACTTGTAAACGGGGACGTGCAGAGTCTTCTGAGGACGAGACTGTCACCCAGGAGCCTGTCTCCAAGTCACTGAGTACGCGCTCCTCGTCTGACACCTCTTTCTTTCTTACTAATGTTGTTTTCCAGAAAAGCCTGTCGCCAAGAAGGCTAAACTTGCTGCAGAGAAGTCCACAGTGCTCGAGTTCGCCAACAAGATCGAGGGAGTGAAGAAGGAGGCGTTGACCCCAGACGCGGAAGGGTACTTTCGCTACCGCCCCACCGACGAAAAACACTCTGTTCGACACTTCTGACCCTGCACACACCCACAAGCTCAACCAGATGCTTGTTTGAATCTTCCACCCTCGCCTTGCGTTCATGCGCGATGTCATCTCCTTCACTCCTAACAATTGTGTTCATATTGTTGTGTCTCGAGTGACTCAGAAGCTCACCCGTTCCTGGTCCGCCATGGTGGCTCACTACTCCTCCCCTGTCACGACTAACCCTGGCAAGTCGATAATTTAGTCGAAAGCCTTCGAGCCGTACTACGTTGAGTCGCGTCCAGTCCCCATTGCCTATCTCAAGCAGGTCTTCCCCAAGGATTCGCCTCTTCCATCGTGGCCATGCTTCCTTTGCATGATGTTCCGCTATGATTGCACTCCTCTGGGTTATGGCGTCCCTTGCGATCACTGCACGCAGGACAAAAGAAGGGCCATCTCTGCGACCACGTCTGCTCCTCGGGCGAAATGCTCAAAATCATTAAGCATTTTACTCCCCTTATTGAAGCGTTGACTTGCGAGACCCATGTGGGGATGATCCAGTTGAAGCAGGCCTTCGAGCTCGCTGCGTAGACTTGCAAGGCTCACCGTTTGGCAATGAGCTTGGTCAAGTACTCGATAGAGTTGTAAATTGAAGTTTTCACAAGGAAACAAAGGGCTTGTATTAGGCAAGCTTAAGCTTGACAACAGCGAAGACTAGGTGGAGCTTTGAGTATTGTAGAGTCCTTGCTGATCTCTGCAAGCACCTTAAATAGTTTTAGACAATAATGGGAGAGCTCCTTTAAGCAACAAGTTGTCCTAATGTCAGAAGCATCTAGTTAAACATGGTTGCTAACCTAAAACTTTAGGTATGAAGTGTATCTGTAGTTACAGTAGCACTTGTACTTCTCCTTAGCCTTAGAGAGTGCAGCCTTTGCTTTAGTAACACTATAAGCAATTGTGTTATAGAACTTATTTACTAACTTTATAGCAGAGCAGACTCTAAGTTCAAATATATGTGTATTTATAAAGAAAACTTATTATATATAGGAGTAGATGTGGTTATTGTAAGCAAACTCTATAGCTAGACTTAGCTCATCCTAGTCATCCTACTAATAGTTAGTAAAGATCTGCAGATAGTGCTCTAACTTCTAGTTGAGACACTCTAGTCTAAAGTTGATAGAGAGAGTATACTAGTACTGTGAAGACATTTCTATAAGGTGCAGCTCTCCTTGCAGCAGTCTTTAAAATGCCTTGGTGTGACAATACAGGTTACAGGTCGTAATGTATAACAAGACATCTAGGGTTACTAATAGTTCCAGGAAACCAACTTTAAGATTATAAAGCAACTAACCTCTCTAGCAACTCAAATATCATAGCAAAGCTTAATAATATATCTTCTTAGGTTTTTGTCTTTAGGTATGATAATCTTCCTACCAAAGTGAAGAAGACCACTGAAGATAGCCTACTTGTCAGAGCGTGAGGAGCAGGGGCCTTAAGCTTAACCTTATACCCTAAGGAGTTGCCAGGCAGCTAATACTAGCACAAGCCTGTATTTTAAAAACGTAACTCTTTGTTAAAAATATAACACTGAGTTTAATAAACACCCTAGATAGTATTTTCTATCTTTCCTGCTTTCTCGTCTCTTAACTAGTTTTTAAACAATTAGACTTTAATAAGGGTCCAAAGCTATTAATAATTATTTTTAACAGAAGAGAAATTATATTAATCTAAATATGTACCAGCCACTTCCAACTTCAGCTTTTATATATTAAGTTATCATTCTAGAGGTCTAGGTAATACTGATCATAGCTGCGCTTAATTAAGACTATAACCAAGCATATCAGACTCTTCTTTTCAGCAAGAATTTGCTACCTTCTGACAACTCTTTTTAACACTCTCCCTACTCTCTCACTCTCTCCTTTAGTGAGCCTAATTTTATCTTTAATAAGCCTGAATCTAGCCCGG